GATTTAGTTATTGATAACTGATTTATTAGTGCAGATGAATTATTTACTATATTAGATGTCAGATCTAATTGGATTGCGGAACTATCTCTCTTGCTAAAAGCAATCCCGCAAGATTGGAAAGAGAAAATTCTCTTAGGAAAAATAGAAAAGAAGTCTAAAGTAATATTGCCAATACAATGGTGTAATATGAGTTCCAAACTAATATATGTGTATTTTATTATGAATAGGGGAATTGAACCCACAAAGTGTCAAATGAAATGGTATTCTTATTTTAATACTGAAATCGACTGGTGTTGACATGGACATGGAAGGTGAAGGGGATTAGAGGAAATAAACTTAAACATATCAATTTTAAGCTCTTACATACTATTGTTCCCACCAAAAAAAGATTATACCTATGGAAAATTGTGAACTCTGATAAATGCCAACGATGTAAGAATGTTGTTCAAGATGATGCACATCTCTTTTTTGAGTGTGTAGAAGCAAAGGCATTATGGAAATATATTAATAGTTTTATTTTGTTTAAATACGGTATCAAAGCAGACTTTTAAAACATTGTAGTTGGAATGGGAAATGTTTATGTAGATCATATATTTTCATGAGTATTCTGTATATTTAAAGCAAACGTCTTAAAAAACGTTAGCAAATGGAATTGTAGCTCAATGCAAAGGCTTTTTATATCTGAATATAAAATGTCTTGCATAATATATTTTTTTTGCAAGCCGTTTTAGATTTTCTTCTTTTATTTATTTTTGTTTCTTCTTTTTGAAAGCGTAACAATAGCGAGTGTGCTGTAATGTATCATGCGTTCGGTAACACCGTGACTGTGTTCACTGTATATAGTTTTTAATAAATATATAATTTAAAAAAAAATCTTCTTGTATGTTAAGGAGAAAAAGAGAGGGAATTAAAAAATAAATATGAAAACCTCGAAAAAAGGAGGATAATGAAAGACTAAACCACAACTAAATCAATGTATAAAATCAATATATTAGTACCATCAATTGTAAACGTATGAACTGTGCTTTATAATGATATTGATGAATAAATGTGGTCTGTTGCCGCAAAAGAGAAAAAAAAGCTATACACTATCATTGCCAAACAGTTTTCTTTCATCAGTTGATATTTTTGACCAATTGTTTGACAACAAATTTGAATGATTAATTTTATATAAAACTATTTTTTTTTTTAATTTGAAACTATGTTTTCAAAAGTCAAATAAATTATTCATCTAAAAGATGGTTTGAGTCAAGGCCTACATAGGCAAACCAACAAGATAATGCCAGTGGAAGCAATGGAAAATATAATCTGATGTCAGACTTCAAAACAGGTATAGGTCAATCAATTTTTTTTAATTTTGAAATTCCTGCAAAATTGTGCATATTTATAATCTTTTATTCTTTGTGTCCTAAATCAATAAATATCTATTTTTTTCACCTTGAATGTTTCCCTAATTTATGCGTTTATGGAACTTGGGGAAACCAGTGAAAAGTTAAATTACATGGAAACATCTCGAAGCGAACATCAAAGGTTACAACCCGTGGTACCGCCGCTCTTATCATAATCTGATAATTTACAACTAATTACAATTGCTTTGCACATGCTCGCTATCGTGTTCTCATGGTGATCGACGTCGTATCATATCATGATCATATAGTTCCAGGGGCGGATTGCTATAAGCGGTCTTTAGGCGGTCTTTAATGGTTAGCCGGCTATAATCGTGACGTCACTACTGGTCTATGATTATAGACCATTGCTATACCGCGGTCTAACCAGTTAGCCATCTAAAATTTTAATGCCTACTTGGATGAGGCTTAAATTATTTATATCATGGCGTTCTGCTGATTAATTCAACAGTGCAATGGCAAGACCTAGGCCTAGATCGTCAAAGTTGGAGAATCGAATGATGGATATTCCGCACGCTTCTCAGCGTCTGTGAAAAATAGGTCTACGTTTATTTTTGTTCATTTTGAGCACGCATGACATCGCCCCCAATCTTACATTACCAGGGAGTGCTTGTTGTTTGCATTTCAATACTCAAAGCGGTCTTTGAAGATGTTTTATAGCAATGGTCTTAGAGGAATTACTTTAGTAAGACAGTTTTATAGCAATCCGCGCCAAGGGACAGTAAATTACACCACCACCTAAAAGTTATACAGAAACAATAAATGGGGACTAGGCCTACATCGCAACGATTTTTTTTATATTTTGCAAATATGCTCGATGGCTAACGGTCTATATTCTATTTTGAAATACCAATCAATCAGTAAATCTAGAGTATCAATATTTTAACTGTCAATAGTTTGACATGGATTCGGGCCTAGATACAAGGACGGTGAACGTAACGTGTACGCCTGTCACTCACAATCAGGTATAGCCTAGCCCTATATTGCCTAGTACTGTTGGGAGGCTCTAGGCCTTACAGGCCACCTAGCATGGACGTTTGTTGTGAATGCTTTTTCCGTTTAGCCTAGAGAACTAGTACCTTCAGTACTAGAGTTGCGCACTTCTCTGTGGTTATCGTAATACAGTCGTCAGATATACTCACTAAGACTGTTAATCATGTATCAATGGTATTATTTAAAAAAAAATTAATTTATATTAGGCACTGTGCCTGTGTTTACTGTTAAACATAGTTGTGACAGTGTAATATATGTGGGATGGTGTTTTTATGCAGGGAGGTGGTAGTTTATGTTGCTGTAGTATTGTACTCCTCTCCTGTACGCTATTTTATTGTTACTTATTGAATTTATGATGTAACAATTAACAGGAAAAAAAATAAATGTTTGCGGTACACCATGTATGTACTCTAGTTCTAAAAGAAAATTAGTTGCAGCTCTCGGTGTTAAATAAAAAATATACTGTTGCCCTTTGTCCTATTTTTATGCCCATCCCTGCAATACACTTCTTTTAGAACACCAAACATGAATTATTGAAATGCGAGGAAAAGAGTTACAATTTAATACATTTTTTATTCAATATAAAATGAACGTTATTCTACGATATTCAATGGATGTTGCCTGTTTGGTTTTTGAAATAAAATTACCTGTACATTTTATCTAATTACCATTACATTGTATCTAATAGCAATAGCAATCCAATCATAAATTATATTTTCTAAACCAGTTATATTTATTAATAATTCTGTCTTTTTATTAGCACTTTCAGTAGTGCTATTATATCACTTTTTATATAGTCTAGAAAAGTAAGTAATTTGGCACAATGTCAGTACACATACTTATTACCAAAAAATGACTTATAATTGCTTGTTTAGTTATATCTCACTATGAAGTTTGACAGGAAATGCATCTAAAACATGTGTACAGTGCTTTTAAACCAGTCGTTATGCTGTATATTTGTGAAAAAACACAAAAGATTTTTTTTTTTTAAACGGGTGGTTTGAAGTTGGTGGTGATATTTTCATCCTTGTCGCTTGACTGTCGGTACTGCGCATTTATGATCAAAGAACTAGGACACAGCAGGGGCTATTATAGCCCTTGTCTAATAATTAGACAATTAGACATTGTTCTTGTCTAATAATTAGACAAGAACAATAGTAATAATAATAATAGTAATAGTAATAGGTAACTAATAGGATTAGCACGCCTTCGTAGTTAAAAATCATTCCATGTAATTTCACTGGTCCCTGGGGGAAACCATTGGAGTTTTCATATTTGTTACCAGAAGTTAATATGCAAAACATAGTTTTTGATTTAACATACAAAATATATTTTGTCAATATATTTTATTAGTCTCCCCAACAGAGTTATGCTTAAAATAGGCTAACCATACAAATTAATAATAAGTTTCCTAAAATTCTTCTCTTTCCTCAACTAAATTTTATAAATTCCAATTAGTAGCTAATATTATAACATTGTACATCATGCAAATCAACAGCTTAAAGATGACTAACACAAAACTTATAATTTGCCATTTTACAGTAGTCAATCACAAAGTTGTTTTTACAATTGTGCGGTCTTTCTCTGAACAGGATGCAGTTCAATTGTTGTTTCATATATTGTTGTTTTCTGCTTTCTGATAGGCTGACCTTATCATGATGATCAAGTTTGATGGTTTCTTTATTGTTTGTTGACATTTCTGATCACGTTGGGTTGTTTGTAACTGTCTATTGAAACTTGTCAGTAGTATAAAGGTTAAGCTCACACTAGAGCCTTACTGTCCAGATCGCGAGTATAAAGTGTTGCTGAATTGCCTGAGAATATGTCAAAGATCTCGCTCCCAATTCAAACCTTGCCTTGTGCTTGTTTTTAGCATTTTAACTAGTACACTACTCTTATCTGGAAAGTGTAACTGCATTACCTGGACATGGGCTATTGCACAGTAATGATGCCAAAGAGCTCTTGAAAGAGAACTATCAGTTTCTGTAACAAGTAAATATAGTGCTGCATAAAAGCAAGCATTATTACTTGGTGTGTCCTTGAAGCATAAACATAAACAAACCATGAGCGAAAGAAGTTGGGAAAGGAAATTATTAAATTATTAGAAGAAATATTCAACATTCAGTAATTGTTAATGACTTAGACCTAGCGGATGTGTTGCTGTGATTGCCACCAATATTTTTTTTAGAAAAAAATGTAGGTAAGCAATATTTGTAGGAATAAATAATACCACATCCCTGTATTAAAGCATTTCAAGGTCAGTTTTAAACATAATACAAATTAATTAATTTCCAGGGGCTTGTTTTATATTAGTCATACAGTATTACAAAATGGATTCTACCATATGGAATAGACAGCCCCCATTCTCAGAGTTTTTGTCATTTAAAAAAAAATTACCAAAATATTCAAAATTGTAATATTAATCTGTGAAGTTATGAATCACAGTCGGTACAATACAATTCTGTGGAAAAGAATGCATTTAGTGTGTACTCTTCATATTGATAATAAATTTATTACACTATCATATCAATCTTATTTCTTATCCTAAAACCTGCAATGAAATAATAACTAAAATGTTGTATGTATAATATTTTCTTTCAGTGTGAAGCATGACACCTGCTCAGCCAGCCCAGATCCAAGGCAACCAGCGCCCTCAACGCTCATGCTCCAAGAAGGGACAGTTTGCTGTAGGAATTCTGTTGATAATAGCAGCTACACTTACATTTATATTTGGCATTGTTTCTGTTGCCTTGCCAACCATCTACTATGGCTATGGTGGAAATCCACTGTGGACTGGAGCAGTAAGTCTATCATTTCTGCATGCTATCAATACTGTATAGTTTAGTGCAGCATTTGCCGTATTTGGCAGCATTTCATAGTAAACATACTTGGGTCATTCCGTGCCAACTCAACAAATTTTCAGAAAATCATGGCTGGGTACTGTCTCAGATTTTCTTGAAACTCGGATATAATGTGCACCAACATGTCTGACGAACAAACCCAAAATTTGACTTGCCAATTCCAAGTCATTTAGAAGTTACGGCCATTTGAAATTTTAGGGTCATACCCATTTTAGCTATCAATTATGACATGTTTGTAAAGTTGCATTTTCAATTAGCCATATCTTCAAATAGAATAAAGATAATTAACTGAAAATTGATATCTAGACTAACTTTTGGCTGTAGAACAGGAATATGA